CAGAAAGACAGCAGTTAGGAGGAGCCAAGGAGTAGCAGTAGAAAGGCTGCAGAAAGAGTCAGGAGCCCAGAGGAGGGGGCAAAGGAGGTGAAGGGGTGGGGGCAGAAAGTGGAAATGAAAGCAGACAACAGAACTGGTAGAGTCTGTGGTAAGGCAGTGAATGCAATGCTTTATAATGCCTCCAATGACAAAATTAATATAATGTAGGAAAAATATGTTATATAACGGACGTTTTATATCGACACAATTTAAATCATTTAGGAGCCCGTCTACTTCAACCTAGCCTACAAAGAACAGCCCGGCCTGAAAGGGAGACAATGTCCCTGCATGCAAATGTAGACACTCAATAAAAGTAAAAGATCCCAAACTGGAATTCAACTCTCATCTTTTGCATGCTGTGCAACTGCAAAGTGCCTACCACTACACCACATATGCTGGGCAATTATAATTTAAGAAATGGGGGCGAGTGAAGAGGTTATGAACTAAATACACATCAAGTTTTTCAAAATCGTTTCAACAAAACCCATAGAATCTATGCTCTGACCAACACCACAACACTAATGACTGCTAATGCCAGGACAAAAGGGGCAAAAAGTACACCATCCCCTACATTCTCGATTTCTCCAATAATACACTTGGCAAAAGTAATCAAATTGGCAGTAATTTGTCTAGAAATTTTATGTAAATAGGGAGCAAACTTAAATTCCTTAGATTTTCAAAACTATACAGAGAGATGGTCTTTCACTTTCACACACTGAGTATCAAAATGTTTATCTCACACAATCCCAAAGAAATCTGTGACAAAAATATGTGTGAGTGAGTACGTCTGTCTGTGTATGTCATGTGTGTCAGCATGCAAGTTTGTGAATCTAAGACCCATGTAAACCGCAATATCTTACCATCATTTAGTTCAACAGGCAAACGGATAAAAACCTGAAAAATGACATGCATCAAAATAAAGCTGAAGCACACACCAACAAGATAAAATTCAACCTTTAGCCGCTATGAACAAAATCAGTCACAAAAGAAGAGGTTCTCTATATATAGAAGTTTGCAGTGTTTTTAGACAGATAATTGTGAGATTTGTATGCGTAAACAGTAGCACATCAACGCAATAATGATCATTTGGTGCAGGGTAAAAGTAAGACAGAAAAGAAGTAGGACCTCTACCAGTAAGCGCCTTCCAACCACCCATGCAGCATGTCAGAATTATGAAGATTCAACGCATCACCCGTTCAACGCTATAAAGTTGGGTTAGTATTATAATTTCTCAAATTGACATGATTTTCAACCAAAGAATTTAATAGTAAGTGTAAGATTGTGTATCAGACTTTTGACTAAGATTCAACTTACCTTCAAATAGCTGGATCGTTCTTTTTCCTTTTCAGTCATATCAATCTCCGCATCAACATTATCCACTCTCTCCACGATCAAATTTTCCTCCTCCATTTGAATCTCAAAGGTTTTTACTCCGTATTCTGTCAAAGTTCTGTCAAAATTTGTATTTCTCACAGCCTAGCTTGAGAGCCCAGTCAGTGCCCAAGCAAATCACTGCATCTTTATTACAACCTGTGATTGACCAGAAATAGAAATAATATTAATTTGAAAAGAGCACTCCCAGAAAAATACATCAGTCAGAATACAAGATCAAGTGCCCAGCCTCAAAAACGAAAGGACACAAAATTTATTTTTGAATCATATTATATTACATGTTTTACCCCTCAAGACTATAAAACTGCTACTGACTAAGCCTAAGCAATGTGTTTGGGACAGCGGGTTTCAGAAAAAAAAAGTTTAAATGAAATAGATAATAAATTAATAATTAAAGAAAATATAATTTATAAAAGTGTTTTTTTGTAATAAAACCAGCATATAAGGTCTAAAGTGAGGCATTATTTTCTTGCAAACAGCATAAAAAGGTATGGAAACATGTGTGTTTGTGCCTCAAGAAAGAGTGTAGAAAAAATTTCAAAAAGGATTTGAAAGAAGAATCCAATTTAATGGAACATAGCCTGCTGCTAGTTGTACACATGTCACAACATGATTCAAAATATCAGATAACATTCAACCAAGCATTCAACCCTTTTTAGTAGTCATGGAACTTTGATTTAAATTAAAAAGTAGAAGAGACACAAACACTGCACAATGACCTGCCTTAGCCTTAGCGCACACACACGCGCGCACACACACACACACACACACACACACACACACACACACACACACACATGCTGCATCAGCCCCATGCTGGTATGCTAAAAATAGCTGACCTCATCACCCAAGTTCTCCTCTCATTTTGACGTGTTTATTATCACGGAGAGCACGCCAGACTCAGCTGGTCACTGATCGGTCACTTCAAGACACTTGGCCAGTTTGGTGGCCTTCTTAACCCTACATTTGAGCGAACACTAAACAAAAACCCAAAAGACTTGACTTGGATCGATATGCGATAAAAATAAATAATAACGCCCAATAGCCTATCCAACATTCTACTTCTAGGCCCCAGGTCAGGTAGATCTAGATATCTAGAAGTAGAAGTAAACAAAAACTGGAACGTAAACAAAGCGGTCTCTAACACTAACAACACAAGGATGGGATATTATCGGAACACACAGGAGGAGCAGCGTGCTGACGGCCGGGTTTTGTTTGTCCGTCCATTCAAATAAACATCGAAACATGATATTATCCTGAGAATAAAAAACATACGGCTTCGTAACAACAAGTTCTAGATCTAGATCTAAATCTAGCATCACTGAGCTGGGTCGAGTCAAACAGGACAGAAATCTAAACTTAAAGACCTAAATTTCATGCACACAGAGCCGAGTAGCGGGGACTGTGATGATAAGGAAGCACTCTCGAATTAACTCAACACACCATCGCTAAATGGATGGTAGGCCTATGAACTTTTCAAAATGCACTAATCCCGAGAAAGAGCGATGATAATGTGTTGAAGACCCTACACCTGCAAAGCCAAAACAAAACACACACAAATAACAAAGGGGCTAGGCCTACCATGAATGCATGATATCCTCCAATCAAGGCTCGTCTAGATCTAGAATGTATAATAATAATATGCAATGACATAGTTACCACAAAGTCCAGTGGCGGTAGTCGAAACAGCACCTCGTCGTTGTAATATAATCTCTAATTACGGTCATCAAACCTAAGGCGAAAATAGCAAACGAACTATTCTTACCTCGCTCTGGGCGAGGGATTGGTCATTTCCTGAGCTTTACGGCGTGCTGTCCCTTGGGCCAACCAACCCTTTTCTCTTCAATCCCCTCGCCAAGTCCCACCGACGAGTAGGCCTACTGAATACGACGGTTCCTGGTTCCGGCCGATTTACCTGTTGCCTTCGACTCCCAACTTGCCACCATAACAAACCCGCGTGTCTGACCTCAAACTACTTGACCCAGTCTCAAGTGAAGCGATACCACTACTACTGCAAGGGGTGGCAGGTCTGTAAAATCGAAAGTCCAGCGTTCAGTTAAAAACAAAAGTGGGAAAAATGATTTATTCTCGAAATTTATCTTAACACGTTGCTTTGAGTACCAACCTTTCTTTTTTTGGTATAACATTTTGTATTGATTTACATCTTCGCGATTTCCCTACCAAGCAAAGCATCGTCCCTTCGATGTGACTTCGCCTTTGCCTTTGTGACCCTCTATGGCGTCGTCGAAACCAAGGACACTGTGGTACTAGGGGAAGCGACTTAGAAATATCTCTAGAGACGAAAAATAATGATTTAATCCCCTTGCTTTCATCAAGTCGTCGACATTCCATACTTCTATGTTTCAATTTGGGTGTTGTCTTTATGAGAAGGATTAGATTAGACCTATGGTTTTCAATAATAAGCAAAGTGGCGGCGACTTTTGATTTACAAAAACATTATTCTTTGAGAAAAGATATGCAGTAGCCTACGGTACAACAACAACAAAAAATGTCATACTTTGCAAAGACGAAAGCATGAATTTAGGGTCAAGAGCTGAATAAAGTTATACATTCATAGCTAGCTATAGACTATAATCTTACCAAGACTTTAAGGGTTATAAGAACAGCTCTCTTACAAATATAAAGTTGCGAGGTAAAAATGTGTAACTTAATACAACGCATGTCCCTAAATTTTGTCTTTTGCCCTTTGCATTTGTAAAATATGAACAGCTCTCTTGTAATAATATAGATAGATTCTTCATGCTTAAACCAAAAATGGTCAAAAGACGAAATGTTCAAAAACATACAGTATTTTTGGGTGTTATCTTTCATCAATGAAAATAATCTTACCATTCTGTGTAGCCTACATGTATTAGTATTGCCTGGACCTATATAAGTGTTAGACCAGCCAACCATACGCATTGCGTTATGAGCGACATATCCGCCTGGGTTATGAGTTATAGCCAAATTACGAACCAGAATTATGAAGAATGAGTCAGGGGTCAAAGTTCTGATAAATCCACTAGCAGGGTTGGGAAAGGGGAGGGGGGGTTGAAAGTTGAAAGGAAGGGAGAAACAGTGCTGAGTCATCAGTCAAGGGGCCAAGAACAGGTTACTAATTAAACAGACGACGGATCAAGCCTTATAAAGGACTAGCAAAGTCTACAGCTTATTATAAAGTGTCTAGAGAACAAGATAATTATTCAGGCTGTCTAACAGTCAAGAACACAATACATAATATAATTAATTTATTATTAATAATACTAGTGTTAATCTTGCGCCTAATCTCTGGGGCCCATATGAGGCACCTCTTAGCGCTGTACAATGCTGAATCATCACTCAACTAATTGACGAACATACGCACACACATATACGTACACACAAACACA